AGGCATGTATGATATGGTAGATGCAGGGCTGGCTCTGTCTTGAGACGTCGTTGGTGGCCCAGCAGAGGAGAGAGCCGTAGTCGAGGTGAGTTCGAGGCGTGTAAGATACTTGACTGAGACCATCCCCCAGCACCCAGGTCCTGCTGCCCGGGATATCCATCACCTCCGAAGAGCTGTTGAACGCCCACCTGCCACACACACACACCAAAACAGATGTTTAGCGTCTCCCTCCCAAACACACACACACACACACACACAAACAAACATAGACGTTGACCCTCACCTCTGCTTAAACTACACAACCTTCAACGCCTCCACCTGCCAAACACAAAATGCTACCTGGAGAATACATGCACGCCCAGTCTACAAAGAAACACACCCACAAGCACCCACCTGTCACGCAACAAAAACACGCTAGGAGCCTTCACGTCTTTGGCGTAAAATATCAGCCAATGAGCACGGAAGAGGTAAAGAGGAACTTTTGCATTTAAGCAGGCAGGCTCTGAAGGGAATAAACTGTCTTAAGTGTAATATATGGAGTTTCGTTTTCTCTCAGGAGAGACTTTTATTCTGCACACTAAAGTAAAGAGGCACAAATCCATCCAGGATGTATTTGTAAGCTCATTTGACAGTAATACGTTCCTGAAACCTGGTTCAGTAGAGACTCACTTGAGAAACGTTAGTTCCCAGAACTTGCTGCTGTGGAGACTCACCTCAGGATAGTAACTTGTTGCCTCTGCAGACTCACCTCAGGACAGTAACTTCCCAGAAACTTGTTGCCTGTGCAGACTCACCTCAAGACAGTAACTTCCCAGTAACTTGTTGCCTGTGCAGACTCACCTCAGGACAGTAAGTTCCCAGTAACTTGTTGCCTGTGCAGACTCACCTCAGGACAGTAACTTCCCAGTAACTTGTTGCCTGTGCAGACTCACCTCAGGACAGTAACTTCCCAGTAACTTGTTGCCTGTGCAGACTCACCTCAGGACAGTAACTTCCCAGTAACTTGCTGCCTGTGCAGACTCATCTCAGGACAGTAACTTCCCTGTAACTTGTTGCCTGTGCAGACTCACCTCAGGACAGTAACTTCCCAGTAACTTGCTGCCTGTGCAGACTCACCTCAGGACAGTAACTTCCCAGTAACTTGCTGTGTTTGGCGACACATATGATAGCAGCAACTTACATGTAACCTGTTACTCATTGTAATAGCCATCTGTGAGATGTTGCAGCTGTACCTGCAGACGGCGCTTTATGCCTGGGAAGACCTACCTGAAGGAGGTGGATTACTAATGACTTACTACATGCCTGGGAAGACCCTCCTGAAGGTTGTAGCTTACAAGGGGTTTACTGCATGTCTCAAGACCCACCTGAAGGCAGTGGGCTCAGGGTGAGCTTCGACGCTGCACGTTACGTTCAACTGCTCATTCTTCCCCGCACCATACACGACCTTCTGCCCCGTCCGACACGTCGGCGCAACTAGCAATGAAAAAAGAAACAATGAAGTTTTTAACTACGTCGTAAACCCTTCGCTGTAAACTCCTCGTTGCAAATTATTGGCTACAAACGGTTCCCTTTTATTAGCTGGGGTAAGTGACATTGAAGACTGTACATACTTAATGAGTTTTAACGTGAGACAGCGTGAATTATTGTTTTATAGATTACTAAACACACCTCGGCATGATATATAGGGTGTTTCAGATAAATGGACCCAATTTCAAAGTAGTATATATCATGATCGGGTCCATGATTTTGAAACACACTGTACTGTTATTTGTCACTCTTAACGCTGAGTGGAATTACAGCAAATTGTGTTCACACATACACACACATACACACACACACACACACACACACACACACACTCACTCTCTCATACACACACACACACACACACACATACACACACACACACATACGCGCGCACACACACACACACACACACACACACACACACACACACACACACACACACACACACACACACACACACACACACACACACACAAACATCCACACACACATCCACACACACACACACACACACACACACACACACACACCACACACACACACACACACACACACACACACACACACACACACACACACACAAACATCCACACACACATCCACACACACACACACCACACACACACACACACACACACACACACACACATGCACACACACCCACACACACGAACACACGCATGTGACACTTAGCTAGATATATGGCATCACTTAGTGTGATATATGACACTGCTAATACTAACACTTTCATATGTGGCCCTTATTGAAGACAAATGAATTGTCTGCTACAAATATTCCTAAAACAGTTATTCCCCATACTGGTCACAAACATTCCTCACAAAGAACACACTACTCACAAAGAACACAGACACTGCTGGCAAAGGGCATATATTCCTCGCACTGTACACATATTCCTCACACTGTACACATATTCCTCACACTAGACACATATTCCTCACACTGGACACATATTCCTCACACTGGACACATATTACTCACACTACACAGATATTTCTTACACTGGACACATATTCCTCACACTGGACCGGACACATACCTCACGCTGAAAACATTCATCAAACTAGACACAGCCTTTCCCAGATATTCATCCCACGGGACACACCGGACACAGACTTTCAACACGTAATACATAAACATTCTTCCTAGAGGACACATACATTCCTTACACAGACATTCCACAGCCCAACACAGAGCACTGGCGTCCGAGGGAGCATCATCACAGAGCACTCTACTCACACTTCACGCTGAGCTGAACGGCGTTGGAGTCGCCAGAGCCTTCGAGATTAGCGGCTGAGCAAGTGTATTCTCCTGACGAGTCTCGACTCACGCCTTGTAGGACCAGACTCTGATTGCTCTTAATTATTCCTGCAGACACGTTGTGGCTCAGCTCCTGGCCCTGGGGAACCAGGGATGAAAGAGAACACGTACTGTTTCTGATGAATGAGACATATGTGTAACAATTGACCCTTTCGGCACACTGTGATCCATACTACTACCACTATTACTTCTGCTACTGCTTCCACTACCAGCCTTACCACTGCAACTTCTTTTTCTTCCTCTCTTGGTCCCGTCCCTGCCCTCCCTCGCGTATATATACTGACTCCCTCACTCTTTCATGTTAGTGTGACTTTGTAAATGGTCCAAGTCGGATAGACACGTCGTCGTAAGCTTTTGTCTCCTATGTGCCAGCTATTTATGTTATGTAACAGCCTTTTTTTGTACTGAATACTGTTAACATAAAGGTAAAGGTGCCTAAACATTATCTCTTGCGTGTGCTATATTTGATTGCACAAAATTATAAGCCAAAATGGGCAGAAATAAATTGCTATACATCAATTTTCATCAACAATGATCAAGGACTCGTAGGCAAAGCAAAACCTTTATTATAATCATAATATAATATTATTAAAGCCTTTATTATGATCATAATTAAGGCTTAATAAAGGATTAATTATCTGAAAATGCTCCTTAAGTAATTGAGAAAAAGTAAAGTATAATGAACATTCAGAGTTCAATAATAACCCACATGGAGACAAAAACTCAGAAGATTAACTGATGTGTATATTTGGATCCAAGTTTTGGATCCATGGGATCTGAGGTAGTCTCCCCCTTCCCTCGGTTCAAACACGATTGCCTCCCCATTTCCCGGGCAATGTACCACCCTTACGGGCTTAGCGCTTCCCTGTGAATGGTGGTGATGATGATGATGATGATGGTAATACTCACATTATGGAACCACTGCACCTTGTAGACTCTTGGGTTAGCCTGGATGCCGCACTCGAAGTACACATCGTCACCTTCTTTGATGTCTTCCATGTCCAGGTTGAGACCGGCCGCCAGGGAGAGTCGGGGTTTGTCTGTCGGGAAGCTCATTAACATTTTGGGTCATAATTCAGTGGCAGACTGTACCGACAGAGTGTGAATAAGACAATGTGCATTTTATTTATGGAGACGTTTCGCCCGCCAAGGACTTCGTCAAATAAAGTCCCTGGTGGATGAAATGTCTTCATTGATGGAATACCGTAATCCACCCAGCGTGTCTTATTTACAACGTTTCAGATCGAAACAAAGTCTATAATTTATCTGGGTCGTTCTAAACATAGCAGCTCCAAGAATCAAACCAAACAGCCACGTGTGGAATATGTCACTATTAGCTCATCATTTCTCTTATAATACTGTATATTTTAGATATTATAATGTATTTATTTTCGTTGATAGCCAAGACGGAAATATCCGTCATGATCGTACTCTCTCATTTATTTATTTACTATGTATTTGCTGTTTGTCTAGTCTTGAAGTGGATGGGAAGTGATGGTTTATTGTGCAGTTTCCACGCTGGCTGCAGAACAATTTTGATTGGCTGACCTCTACCTTGCGTGAAAGTTGTTTGGCTTTTGCGGTGTATTGTGTGAGTGTTTAGCTCGTCGTTGTGGACAGAGAGAGTTCCCCCTTCCCCCACGTCTGGCCTTCATTCAGTCTCTAATCTGGTGCTCTGGAGGCAAGCCATTACTTCTCCTGCCCACTTTCTCCACTCACCTTTTTTGCTTTCTGTTTCTAGACATTGTTGATAGCATGTGATCTGGTTGGTGAGGGGGAGTTATATATGTCTTGGCCCCTGGTGAACTATGTTCACAGAGCTTTATTTGGGTTAAGGAAGATATTCCAGTACATGGTTGTGTATCATGTGACTCTGACACCTATGATCCTTAGTTATGCTCTTGTTCTGACATCGTTGTGTGGTATCTAGGCACTGTCGCAGTCAGGATTTGAATATTACTAAACCTAGTCTCAGTAACTGGGATTTCCCTGCTAGTTTTGTGGACACTGTGCATGTCCACTGATACCCAGGTTGTTTCGGAGTCTCTTGTCCTGCCCACTGCGGTGTGCTGCATCCCGCTGCTGTACGATCTGGTTGATCTCATCTTATTTCAACAGTGCTGTGTCTGTGCTGATGTCAAGATATTTATCTTATTCTCCCAGTGAGTCAAGTCTTCCTACTACTGTTCCTATGTTCATATTCAATGTACTGCGTAAAATACCTGTGTGTACATCTATTATGATAGGTATATAGTCATATATTTTTTATCCATTTAAATATTTAGTACATTTTCCGTGAAGAGTAGTCTGGATTCTCTTAATTTAAATGTAAATATTTCTACGCTAGACCTTAAAAAAGTTAAATTATCAAAGCTGTAAGTTGTTTAAGTTTCTGTTCTCCTTGTTACGATTATATTTTATAAGTGATGTCAGTATAATTGATGTCAGTGATAGCACTGTGTTGCACATTAAGAATCTGTACATGCTCTTAATGCTCTGTGACCAGACTCAGGCTAGTTATAAGGGAGACAACGTGCTCTGTGACCAGACTCAGGCTAGTTATAAGGGAGACAACGTGCTCTGTGACCAGACTCAGGCTAGTTATAAGGGAGACAACGTGCTCTGTGACCAGACTCAGGCTAGTTATAAGGGAGACAACGCGGATGACTTCCTGGTTAACTCGGGTTATATAACGTGGAATAAAGTTGACAATACATGTAACAATTCACAACAAACTGAAGATACCTGAGCTTCCATCTTTGTCCCCTTGATACAGGTCATCTTAATCCAAAGAGTCTCTCTATTTGTCCTATTAATTCCTTCTCTCTCTATCAAGGTAGTCAGCTTCGGTTTCTTGAATTAGATGACATTTCGCTCCATCCTGGGCTATTATCAAGCTCAGGACGGAGAGAAACGTCACCTGTTTTAATTGCAATTACGTATGTGGTTGTAACTACACGTCTGTTATTAATAACATCACTGATATAACAGAGCTTTGCTGGCCACTTACAGCGCACGTCGAGCTTGAGTACGTCCTCGATGACCTGCGCCGTCAGCAGGGGATTCTGCGCCCTGCAGGAGATGTAGGTGTCGTGATCTGCCAGCGTCGGCGTCAGCTGCAGTGTCGACCGACTCACGTTACCCTCCTGGAACACCTGTTTTGAATAATTACTCAGGAAAAGAAATGCTTTTCTGTAGTTCAAAGGTATCTAACTGATAATATTTTATTATTACTATTATTATAATTATTATTATTATTATTATTATTATTATTATTATTATTATTATTATTATTATTATTATTATTATTATTATAAATTTTGAAACAGCATATTCTCATTTTTCAGTTTACTTTCATCATTTGCATTCTATTTTAAATTCTTCACAATCATGTAAGAACAAATACTTCATTTTGGTTATTCAGTATAATGACTGGTGGAGACTCGATCCTCCGTCCGATGATGTTAAGAGGAGGTAGTGTGTCTTCTCACCTGTGTTGTAGCGTCCGTCATGAGCAAGCCATCCTTCCACCAAGTGATCTTGGCTGTGGGCCGACTCCCACTTGATTCACACACTAGCTTGTACCTCTCACCCTCAGCTAGACTGTCAGGCGGGACCCCGATCTTCACGCTCACTGGCGGGACTGTGAACACACCAGACACACAAGCGTCAACGGGAAGTGCAGAGACTGAATTTACTTAGTTGAGATGTGTGTGTGTGTGTGTGTGTGTGTGTGTGTGTGTGTGTGTGTGTGTGTGTGTGTGTGTGTGTGTGTGTGTGTGTGTGTGTGTGTGTGTGTGTGTGTGTGTGTGTGTGTGTGTGTGTGTGTGGGTGTGTTCACCACGGAGTGTGAATCTATCAATGCAGGACGGGAGGCTGTGTATGAGTGTATATACACTAGAAGTAATTTGTCAGTGTTTGTATGCAGTGTATATATATATATATATATATATATATATATATATATATATATATATATATATATATATATATATATATATATATATATATATATATATATATATATATATATATATATGTCGTGCCGAATATGTAAAACTGTTCAATTAGTAAGAACTCATTTAAAATGAAGTCCTTTCTGAAATTTTCTCTTATACGTTTAAAGATATATTTTTTTTCATTAATGTTATTGTAAAAATTTTTAATTTTGCACCAAAAGAATCTTAGAAAACTTACCTAACCTTATTATAACAAGAACAATTTATTTTAGCCTAACCCAACTAAATATATTTTAGATTTGTTTACAATAATTTAATACTAAACAAACACAGTGAAATATATTTTTTTCGTTAGGTTCAGAATGATTTTGGCGAAATTATTGCATACACAAATTTTCACTTGTCCTATATGGCAAGATGAGCGTTACTATTTAAGCCAAGATGGCAAGTTCTGCCTATTCGGCATGACATATATATATATATATATATATATATATATATATATATATATATATATATATATATATATATATATATATATTATATATATATATATATATATATATATATATATATATATATATATATATATAGGTAGTAGGTTGGTAGACAGCAACCACCCAGGGAAGTACTACCGTCCTGCCAGATGACTGTGAAACAAAAACCTGTAACTGTTTTGCATGATGGTAGGATTGCTGGTTTTCTTTTTCTGTCTCATAAACACGCTAAGATAACAGGGATATCTTGCTACTCCTACTTACACTTTGGTCACACTTCACAGACACGCACATGCATATATATATATATATACATACATCTAGGTTTTTCTCCTTTTTCTAAATAGCTCTTGTTCTTTTTTATTTCTTCTATTGTCCATGGGGAAGTGGAAAAGAATCTTTCCTCCGTAAGCCATGCGTGTCGTATGAGGCGACTAAAATGCCGGGAGCAATGGGCTAGTAACCCCTTCTCCTGTATACAATTACTAAAAAAGAGAAGAAGAAAAACTTTATAAAACTGGGTTGCTTAAATGTGCGTGGATGTAGTGCGGATGACAAGAAACAGATGATTGCTGATGTTATGAATGAAAAGAAGTTGGATGTCCTGGCCCTAAGCGAAACAAAGCTGAAGGGGGTAGGAGAGTTTCAGTGGGGGGAAATAAATGGGATTAAATCTGGAGTATCTGAGAGAGTTAGAGCAAAGGAAGGGGTAGCAGTAATGTTAAATGATCAGTTATGGAAGGAGAAAAGAGAATATGAATGTGTAAATTCAAGAATTATGTGGATTAAAGTAAAGGTTGGATGCGAGAAGTGGGTCATAATAAGCGTGTATGCACCTGGAGAAGAGAGGAATGCAGAGGAGAGAGAGAGATTTTGGGAGATGTTAAGTGAATGTATAGGAGCCTTTGAACCAAGTGAGAGAGTAATTGTGGTAGGGGACTTGAATGCTAAAGTAGGAGAAACTTTTAGAGAGGTGTGGTAGGTAAGTTTGGGGTGCCAGGTGTAAATGATAATGGGAGCCCTTTGATTGAACTTTGTATAGAAAGGGGTTTAGTTATAGGTAATACATATTTTAAGAAAAAGAGGATAAATAAGTATACACGATATGATGTAGGGCGAAATGACAGTAGTTTGTTGGATTATGTATTGGTAGATAAAAGACTGTTGAGTAGACTTCAGGATGTACATGTTTATAGAGGGGCCACAGATATATCAGATCACTTTCTAGTTGTAGCTACACTGAGAGTAAAAGGTAGATGGGATACAAGGAGAATAGAAGCATCAGGGAAGAGAGAGGTGAAGGTTTATAAACTAAAAGAGGAGGCAGTTAGGGTAAGATATAAACAGCTATTGGAGGATAGATGGGCTAATGAGAGCATAGGCAATGGGGTCGAAGAGGTATGGGGTAGGTTTAAAAATGTAGTGTTAGAGTGTTCAGCAGAAGTTTGTGGTTACAGGAAAGTGGGTGCAGGAGGGAAGAGGAGCGATTGGTGGAATGATGATGTAAAGAGAGTAGTAAGGGAGAAAAAGTTAGCATATGAGAAGTTTTTACAAAGTAGAAGTGATGCAAGGAGGGAAGAGTATATGGAGAAAAAGAGAGAAGTTAAGAGAGTGGTGAAGCAATGTAAAAGAGAGCAAATGAGAGAGTGGGTGAGATGTTATCAACAAATTTTGTTGAAAATAAGAAAAAGTTTTGGAGTGAGATTAACAAGTTAAGAAAGCCTAGAGAACAAATGGATTTGTCAGTTAAAAATAGGAGAGGAGAGTTATTAAATGGAGAGTTAGAGGTATTGGGAAGATGGAAGGAATATTTTGAGGAATTGTTAAATGTTGATGAAGATAGGGAAGCTGTGATTTCGTGTATAGGGCAAGGAGGAATAACATCTTGTAGGAGTGAGGAAGAGCCAGTTGTGAGTGTGGGGGAAGTTCGTGAGGCAGTAGGTAAAATGAAAGGGGGTAAGGCAGCCGGGATTGATGGGATAAAGATAGAAATGTTAAAAGCAGGTGGGGATATAGTTTTGGAGTGGTTGGTGCAATTATTTAATAAATGTATGGAAGAAGGTAAGGTACCTAGGGATTGGCAGAGAGCATGCATAGTTCCTTTGTATAAAGGCAAAGGGGATAAAAGAGAGTGCAAAAATTATAGGGGGATAAGTCTGTTGAGTGTACCTGGTAAAGTGTATGGTAGAGTTATAATTGAAAGAATTAAGAGTAAGACGGAGAATAGGATAGCAGATGAACAAGGAGGCTTTAGGAAAGGTAGGGGGTGTGTGGACCAGGTGTTTACAGTGAAACATATAAGTGAACAGTATTTAGATAAGGCTAAAGAGGTCTTTGTGGCATTTATGGATTTGGAAAAGGCGTATGACAGGGTGGATAGGGGGGCAATGTGGCAGATGTTGCAAGTGTATGGTGTAGGAGGTAGGTTACTGAAAGCAGTGAAGAGTTTTTATGAGGATAGTGAGGCTCAAGTTAGAGTATGTAGGAAAGAGGGAAATTTTTTCCCAGTAAAAGTAGGCCTTAGACAAGGATGTGTGATGTCACCGTGGTTGTTTAATATATTTATAGATGGGGTTGTAAGAGAAGTAAATGCGAGGGTCTTGGCAAGAGGCGTGGAGTTAAAAGATAAAGAATCACACACAAAGTGGGAGTTGTCACAGCTGCTCTTTGCTGATGACACTGTGCTCTTGGGAGATTCTGAAGAGAAGTTGCAGAGATTGGTGGATGAATTTGGTAGGGTGTGCAAAAGAAGAAAATTAAAGGTGAATACAGGAAAGAGTAAGGTTATGAGGATAACAAAAAGATCAGGTGATGAAAGATTGAATATCAGATTGGAGGGAGAGAGTATGGAGGAGGTGAACGTATTCAGATATTTGGGAGTGGACGTGTCAGCAGATGGGTCTATGAAAGATGAGGTGAATCATAGAATTGATGAGGGAAAAAGAGTGAGTGGTGCACTTAGGAGTCTGTGGAGACAAAGAACTTTGTCCTTGGAGGCAAAGAGGGGAATGTATGAGAGTATAGTTTTACCAACGCTCTTATATGGGTGTGAAGCGTGGGTGATGAATGTTGCAGCGAGGAGAAGGCTGGAGGCAGTGGAGATGTCATGTCTGAGGGCAATGTGTGGTGTGAATATAATGCAGAGAATTCGTAGTTTGGAAGTTAGGAGGAGGTGCGGGATTACCAAAACTGTTGTCCAGAGGGCTGAGGAAGGGTTGTTGAGGTGGTTCGGACATGTAGAGAGAATGGAGCGAAACAGAATGACTTCAAGAGTGTATCAGTCTGTAGTGGAAGGAAGGCGGGGTAGGGGTCGGCCTAGGAAGGGTTGGAGGGAGGGGGTAAAGGAGGTTTTGTGTGCGAGGGGCTTGGACTTCCAGCAGGCATGCGTGAGCGTGTTTGATAGGAGTGAATGGAGACAAATGGTTTTTAATACTTGACGTGCTGTTGGAGTGTGAGCAAAGTAACATTTATGAAGGGATTCAGGGAAACCGGCAGGCCGGACTTGAGTCCTGGAGATGGGAAGTACAGTGCCTGCACTCTGAAGGAGGGGTGTTAATGTTGCAGTTTAAAAACTGTAGTGTAAAGCACCCTTCTGGCAAGACAGTGATGGAGTGAATGATGGTGAAAGTTTTTCTTTTTCGGGCCACCCTGCCTTGGTGGGAATCGGCCGGTGTGATAATAAAATAATAAAAAAAATATATATATGTATATATATATATATATATATATATATATATATATATATATATATATATTATACTAGGAATTAACAGTAATTCGTGTTCCATGACGACTTACAGTATCTCTGATGTTAGTGTCTAATTGGATTGCGGTATTAATGACTCTCGTGTAGTCAATGGAGCTTAATCCTATCAACTTAACTATGCTAAACAGAACTCGATGCTCTCCTCACCTCCTTTATATGTTATCTATATTGAATATTCTGTATCATATAAGATTACTCCTTCATTATAAATTAGATAACAATATATATATATATATATATATATATATATATATATATATATATATATATATATATATATATATAATATATATATATATATATATATATAAATTTTACGATATTTAACAGTAAATTGAGTGTTTATAGCGTGCCTGAGAAGAGGTCATTAGCGTACAGAAAATCAAGACGCATGCGCCCATCAAGAGAACACGGGTGCCTTGATGCCAGTGAAAAGCTCTTGATCCAGGGAATCTGGACTTACCCTTCCCTTGGATATAATAATCCTACTGACAGAGGCGTCAATCTTACACGTCATGTCGATGGTGAGGGTGACAGCGGTGGGGGCTGACAAATTGGAGTTGACAGCTTGACAGGTGAGCACACGATAGAGGTCGTCCCGGGTGAGGGCGGGCAAGGTCAGGGTGTTGAGGGTCACCTCCCCTCGTCTGTCCTCGCTCTGGTCGTCCAGCAGGGTCGTCTTCGTCCACCACGTCACCTGAGGAGGGGGTCGACCTGGGCTCCCAGAATAGACAGTGTTAGTTGCTAGCACATAGTGAGCCCAGAGAATATAAAGTGATTACAAGGAGAAAAAATGTTTCAAGAATACAATAGAGAATGAGAGTACATGGGAGGACAACAGAAATAGGAATACAAGGAGAATATATGAGAGTACAAGAAGAATAAATTAAATAAAAGGAGAATACTTATTAGTAAAAGAATATATGAGAGTACAGGAAGAATGTATGGAGTCCAGTTGGAGTATATAGAAGAACAATTGGAATATATCAAAGTACAATTTAAATATATCGGAATACATTCTGAATATACTGGAGTACATTATTATTATAATAAGGAAGCGTTAAACCTACTAGGGTAGGAGTACAAGGAGAATACATTGAAGTACAATGACAATAAAACAGAATACAAAGAAAATGCAGAGAAGAGAATATATTACTGAGATATCGAGGCTATTTACCGAGGACTAACTGGAGTCTAGAACTACTTGGACTATAACTATCACTACGACTACTACTATTACTAAGCCCTAGTCGGACCATGGACCACGCTTGTCTGTGGTAGTTATTGCTCCAGCGTCAGGATCACAGCACCTCTGTCAGTCACTGTACCAAGGGTGGCCAAGGAAAACAAGGGAGATGGCTGGAATGGGTAATGAATTGCAGTAAGGTTTGTGGAATATATAGAATGTTTACAGAATATATAGACAGTTTGATGTAGACTAAAGAGTGCGCTGAGGGCAAAGTGTCCAAGGACAGAGTGAGCAACAGAGGCTTCGGGAAGTGTGAGAGTGGGTGGGGGGGGATAGAAGAAGCGGTTACAGTGAGTGGATGATAGGGAAGTGGTGCACGCTTATGTGGTAGAGAGGGAGTATGTGGGAGGAAGAAGTATGAATGTGATGTTCGTGTGTGTAAGGAATGAGGAGTATATAGAGGGTAGAAGTATGAATGTGGTGTGTGCGTATGTGTGGGAACAAAGAAGTATGTGGGAGGAGAGGATAGTCTCCACCAGCAGGAGAGATTGGCAAGGCTTGACAGAGAGTGTGGGTCGGAGCAGGAACGAGGCTTTGAGCTAGTGGGGTTTGCAGTGTGTTCGTGGATGGCAGGGGAGGGGAGAATTATATTGACATTGAGTGCGGGGGTTTGTTGAATGGGGACTGTTGTACAAAGGGATGAAATACCCCCTTTCTGCCGGGTCCTTACCCTGGCTCTCTCTTCTTTTAGCATGCCCCTCTTCCAAAAGAAATTGCCGGAAAAAAGACACAACAGAAAGAGACCTTTTATAATTTCGACGTTTCACCTACAAGAACCTTTATCACGTACTTCATAAAGCCTCTTGTGAGCGAAACGTATGAAAAATAATTGGTATATTGTTGTGCTTCTCTTTAACAAAAATCAAATAAAGTTTGTAACAGCCTTTTTCAGCTTTCATTGTATAACATTAATCTTTCTCGTTTAGGAGAAAGAACTCGCAAAGGACCATGATAGACACTTTCAGACTTGCCCAGCCTTACTCTCTCCCCTCCATGTATTTCACTCATTCCAGTTTCCAGTATACAGAGTGCATGCTCAGCTTTATTACCACCGTACTGGTTCCTCTCAACCCATCGTCCCTCATCTTGTGGTTCTGGTCTTCCCATTATCATAAAAGCTGTATCACTCTCTGTATTCTGGTTTAGCAAGTCTTACATCGTGACTTTGTCACGGTCCCGTCACCATCGCTACAGCAGAGCTCCAGTTTGATCTCTTCTTCAGCGAAATACCTTAATAAACTTGCTCGAATCTGCCTTTGTATAACATAACTGATCCATACTGTTACGATCAAGGTAAAACGTTGTCTTGACAAAGTCTTGTTCTAGTCTCTTTCAATACAGACCTGAAGATAATATATAAATATTTCTCAAAACGCTTCTACCTTGCCTTTGAGAGAATTTTCCCCTCCTATCTGGTGTTAGACTTACAACATTGCGTAGCTCCTGACGACGCACAAGAATGCGAAAGATAGATCTTGTGCTTAAAGATTTTCATTCCCCTGTGGCTTGTTCTGCATTAAAGTCGCAATGATTGCATAATGGAAGCAAATCTAATTCCACTAACATAGTAATTATGCCAACAGCCATTATTAGGAACCCCAGCAATGACGTCTCACATCCCCAGGGGTTTAGTGCACCCCCCAGGGGTTAAGTGTACCCCCAGGGGTTGAGTGCACCCCTAGGGGTTGAGTGCACCCCCAGGGTTGAGTGCACCCCCAGGGTTGAGTGCACCTCCAGGGTTGAGTGCACCCCCAGGGTTGAGTGCACTTCTGGGTAAGATCTACTGATTCTACAGGCAGCTCCTCACTCCCCGTCACTTATTTCATGTTCTCTCGCTGGTTTATTCATATTATACGCGTTAAAAAGGCACGGAGGATACACAGGAGTACAAGAATACATGGGAGTACACGAAGGATACGCAGGAGTACAAAGCTATACGACGGTGATTTTATTTACGAATGAGAGAATATTCTTGTTTATTTAAAGCAAAGTAAGTGCTGGAGGGTTTGTGTGTTGTCTGAGAGGTTCAGTCCCTTACCAAAGATCTAGTTTCCATGTTTTCCCTTGGGAGAAGACGATTAATTGTCACTCTGCTTCCACCTGCACCATTACCACCACCATCTCCACTGCAACACTACCAACACCATCTCCACCGCTAATACTACTGTCACCAACACCACCCCCAATACTACCAACACCATCACGACCAACACTATGGCTACAACCTCAATGTGGATGAGTGGAACAAACTCCCGAGTACAGTTATAGAGGCTAAAACGTTGTGTAGTTTCAAAAATAGGTTAGATAAATACATGAGTGGGTGTGGGTGGGTGTGAGTTGGATCTGACCAGCTTGTGCTACTAGGTCTGATGCCGTGCTCCTTCCCTAAGTGGAAGTGACCTGACTAGGTGGGTCATTGGGCTAAGCCGGAGGGTGACATGAACTTGCTTCGCATGGGTCAGTCGGCCTGCTGCAGTGTTCCTGCTTTCTTATGTTCTTATGTTCTAGCACCACCACCACTAAACCCTTGGACTACCACCTCGATCACCATCCCCAGCACATTACCACCAATACTAGCACCACCACCATCACCAACACCACTACAAAAGCACCAACCACAATGTTAGCACCAACACCACCTTCACCACCAACAACACTACCACCGCAAAACATGAGCACTTACACCAACAACAACAGCAACACCTGTCACCACTACTAACACCACCACTACCACCGCAAACACCTTCAGCACTAACAACAGCTCTAACATGTGCAACAACAGTGTTGTTTAAATTGAAAAACCGAATTATCCTGGTATGACTGAACATTAAATTGTTGATTCTGCAGCTGAAAGCAACAATCATATTAAAATCTTAATGTGTTCATTTTGTGCAAGGGCGTTAAGATGTGTGTTTGTGTATGTGAATTAGTTTGTGTGTATTTTTGCGTTATGTTTTGTGTGTATGCCAGTGCCAATGCGTATGGATGTTTAATGTGTGTTTGTGTATGGGCGTTATATGTGTGTTTGTGTATGGACGTTACATGTGTGTTTGTGTATGGACGTTACATGTGTGTTTGTGTATGGACGTTACATGTGTGTTTGTGTATGGACGTTACATGTGTGTTTGTGTATGGACGTTACATGTGTGTTTGTGTATGGACGTTACATGTGTGTTTGTGTATGGACGTTACATGTGTGTTTGTGTATGGACGTTTTCATGTGTGTTTGTGTATGGACGTTACATGTGTGTTTGTGTATGGACGTTACATGTGTGTTTGTGTATGGACGTTACATGTGTGTTTGTGTATGGACGTTACATGTGTGTTTGTGTATAAACGTTGCATGTGTGTTTGTGTATGGGACGTTACATGTGTGTTTGTGTATGAACGTTACATGTGTGTTTGTGTATGAACATTGCATGTGTATTTGTGTATGGGGCGTTGCATGTGTGTTTGTGTATGGGATACTGAATGTGTGTCTGGAGCTGTACACGTGTTGTATTAACGAGTCATGTACGTGTGTGTATGTTATGACATATATACGTGCGTGTATGTGTCGCATCATATGCGAGATATATGTACTCTAGTACTGTAAGTGAATATAAGCAACTGAATTCTTCAACCTTTAACGCACTTTACCATAGTGTCACAAAAAGAACATAGTATCTGGACTCTACATTAGTTCCCGTAAAGAAATTTTTTGTTCCGCACTTTACTTCAGTTTCCCTTAAAAAAGTTCATATTTTCTTTATTGCAAATGCATTTAGTTAAGTCGTAAATACACAAAGGCTGTTCACTACATAGATTATACGTAATAAAATGGTGAGTACAATCAGGAATTGTATGTGTATCGTGCTAAGCAAACGGAGGAACGAGCCTTCACTCAGCTCTTAGTTTTTACGACATTAATAATTGTAATAATGTTGGCAGAATTACCGACAATATGTAAAGTAAAAGGACATAAGAGTGACTAATATGACATTTTTATTGTGACAACGTTTCTCTCTCTAGGAGCTGTGTCAAGCCATAACGACTTGACACAGCTCCTAGAGAGCGAAACGTTGCCACAATAAAAATGTCATATTAGTCGCACTTGTGTCCTTTTACTTTACATATATTAATGATAATAAAGCATTAACTCGAAGGGGCGAGATAGAGCACATTTTGAGGTTCATGTCTCTCAGGGTTCATGCCCTGAGAATCTACTTTAGTCCCTGCTGGTATAAGCCACTGGATGGCGAAACGTCTACAATAAAGATACTCAGATGTTGCACATGTGTCTAAACTTTCATATTGTCGGTATTTTATACCTTTCTTATACAAGTCCCTGGCTGGTATAAGTCCCTGGCTGGTATAAGTCCCTGGCTGGTATAAGTCCCTGGCTGGTATAAGTCCCTGGCTGGTATAAGTCCCTTTCTGGTATAAGTCCCTGGTTGGTATAAGTCCCTGGCTGGTATAAGTCCCTGGTTGGTATAAGTCCTTGGCTGGTATAAGTCCCTGGCTGGTATAAGTCCCTGGCTGGTATAAGTCCCTTTCTGGTATAAGTCCCTGGCTGGTATAAGTCCCTTTCTGGTATAAGTCCCTGGCTGGTATAAGTCCCTTTCTGGTATAAGTCCCTGGTTGGTATAAGTCCCTGGTTGGTATAAGTCCCTGGTTGGTATAAGTCCCTGGCTGGTATAAGTCCCTGGCTGGTATAAGTCCCTGGCTGGTATAAGGGTTACACGCAGCCTTAATGGTCGTCGTGTAGTGGAGAGACTTTAAATCTTATTAACAAACCAGCCACATGACTTCATCACTTAACATTATTAAAAAAATTATAGTCTGTATTAAAGCTAAATCCGCTTGTCTTAGAAAGTAAAAATGATATTGTCTTCGAGGTAATCAGAAAAGCTCTTTACTCAGTAAATATCTGAGATACAATCACCGTCAGAGGCATGAATTCCCTCTCCAATATCCGTGGCGCCCAAGACACTGTTGTGATAGCGGTAAATATTGGAGCGGCAAATGAAGCGAACACCTTACTGACAAGCCTCATGATAAACTACCGGGAGACAAAGGGAAAAACCAATAAAGGACAAAATGAAATTATTTGGCCGGGGAAAGGGGGGGGGGACGTTCAGTGGATGCCAAAGCCAGCAGGGGGCGCGGCCCCCTCATCCTCCCACGAGCTGTCGTTGGCACCAGTGGCCACCGATGCGGGAATGTAACCCAGGAACTATCGTTCGTATTTTCTTACGGATTTACCTTCCTCCCTTGGCCCATCCTTTCCTCTCCACCCTCTCTCCACCCGTCCTTCTTTCTCTCTAAGGAACATTCACCGTTCTCTCACAGTAACGCTCACCGTTCTCTCTCGGTTACACTCAATGTTCTCTCGGTAACACTCACCGTTCTCTCTCTCGGTAACACTCACCGTTCTCTCTCTCGGTAACACTCACCGTTCTCTCTCTCGGTAACACTCACCGTTCTCTCTCTCGGTAACACTCACCGTTCTCTCTCTCGGTAACACTCACCGTTCTCTCTCTCGGTAACACTCACCGTTCTCTCTCTCGGTAACACTCACCGTTCTCTCTCTCGGTAACACTCACCGTTCTCTCTCTCGGTAACACTCACCGTTCTCTCTCTCGGTAACACTCACCGTTCTCAGCACGGCAGTGTAAGGTGAGTGGGTCACCAACGGGGTATGGACCAATGACGCCGCTCACTTCAAGACCAGCTTGGCTCACCACCGACAGTCTCCGGGGCGGTACTGAGGAACGACAGACCACACAGCGTTACAAAATACACAGACAACTATTTCGCGGACAGAAGAGGGAATAATGTTCATCTGACACCTCGAAGCCTGGACAGTTTTCAGTAGTACTCCTGAAATCACTAGTGTTTATGGATAATTAAAGTGTAATGAGCACTCGTCAGTGCTCAATAATAACCCCACCCGAAGACAGACACTCAGGAGATTAATTGATACATATATTTCGACCCAATTCTGGGATCCTCTTCAGCAACTGAAGGGGTCGAAATATACATACCAATCAGTCTCCTGAGTTTCTGTCTTCATGTGAGTTGTTACTGAACATTAATGTTTATATTTAGTAAGTATTGGGGGAAGACATTGCGGTGGTGTTAGCATACTACTGGTCCTTACCAGACGCACCATGGCATGTATGACTACACACGCACCCTTCCTTGCTTAATAAGTATTTTAATGCAAGTTAAACAAGGAAGGGAGACTGAATTGCTAATACCAGAACACTTGTCTGTATACACGTTGTTAAGACAAAGATATAACTCATTTCTGTGCCATTAAATGTAAAGCAATATACAAGTTTGTATTACGTAAATAGTATCTTAGGCTACAACACGTACATACTTTTATATAGTTAATATTATAATTAAAATGTGTGAAAAGATAATTATCGACATGTGTTGGTGCCGTGTCCTGTGGAGAAAATATTCAAGCTGGTATGGTAACACTCGTATGTCAACACTGGTGTGGTAACACTTGTATGGTGACACTGATATAGGAACACTGGTATGGTGACACTGGTATGGTAACACTGGTATGGGAACACTAGTATGGTAAAACTGGTATGGTAATACTGGTATGGCAACACTGGTATGGTAACGCTGGTTTTGGGAACACTGGTATGGTAACACTGGTATGGTAACACTGATATGGGAACACTGGTATAGTAGCACTGGTATAGTAACACTGGTATGGTAACACTCGTTTGGGAACACTGGTATGATAACACTGGTTTGGGAATACTGGTATGGTAACTTGGTATGGTAACACTGGGATGGTAACAGTGGTATGGTAACACTGGTATGGTAACACTGGTACGGTAACACTGGTATGGTAACATTGGTATAGTAACACTGGTATGATAACACTAACAAACTGCTAAAACACGCGCGTGTGCACAAATTTAGTAAGGAAACGTTTCACCAAGATTGTCTTTTATTTTTAAAGTCACTTGTAGGGAAGAGTTTCTTTATACGATATTATACTGTGTGTTTACATGTGTCTTATGACACAAGTGGCCAACTTGTCTTCTCCCACAACCACCTCGTAACATACATCATAAGCATCTGTATTAAATAAATGACAGCCTCACTGACGTTTTTGGGGTGACTTAAAAAATCAAAGGTACAGAAAATTTATGGTAATTTCTGTAGAAAATATATAAAAATACAGACGTACCTACGACGTGCAGCTGAACGCGGACGTTCCTAGTTGGGTGGGATCGGAAGTCGACCCGGCACCTGTAGAGGTCGTGATCCGACGCCCGCACCGGGTGCAGCACCAAACCCGGGGGACGAGCTGAGAAGTCCAGGCGAGCACGGTTGCCCAGCGTCGCATCGTCCGACCAGTGGAGACCTCCCCGCACGGGTCCATTTCGACCGTCAATGCTGATGATGGAAGAAACGTAACATTGTGAGCCAGCTGAGTAAGCAAGCGGTTATATTTTGGGTTAGAATCACCATTTAGGTTAGATTCACTATTTATATATTTATAGATGTGGTTGTAAGAGTGAATGCGAGGGTCTTGGCAAGAGGTGTGGAGTTCAAAGATAAAGAATCAAACACAAAGTGGGAGTTGTCACAGTTGCTTTTTGCTGATGACAATGTGCTCTTGGGAGATTCTAAAGAGAAGTTGCAGAGGTTGGTGGATGAATTTGGTAGGGTGTGTAAAAGAAGAAAATTAAAAGTGAATACAGGAAAGAGTAAGGCTATGAGGATAACAAAAAGATCAGGTGACGAAAGATTGGATATCAGATTGGAGGGAGAGAGTATGGAGGAGGTGAATGTATTCAGATATTTGGGAGTGGAAGTGTCAGCAGATGGGTCTATGAAGGATGAGGTGAATCATAGAATTGATGAGGGGAAAAGGGTGAGTGGTGCACTTAGGAGTCTGTGGAGACAAAGAACTTTGTCCGTGGAAGCAAAGAGGGGAATGTATGAGAGTATAGTTTTACCAACGCTCTTATATGGGTGTGAAACATGGGTGATGAATGTTGCAGCGAGGAGAAGGCTGGAGGTAGTGGAGATGTTATGTCTGAGGGCAATGTGTGGTGTGAATATAATGCAGAGAATTCGTAGTTGGGAAGTTAGGAGGAGGTGCGGGATTGCCAAAACTGTTGTCCAGAGGTCTGAGGGAGGGTTGTTGAGGGGGTTCAGATATGTAGAGAGAATGGAACGAAGCAGAATGACTTCGAGAGTGTATAAATCTGTAGTGGAGGGAAGGTGGGGCAGGGGTCGGCCTAGGAAAGGTTGGAGGGAGGGGGTAAAGGAGGTTTTGTGTGCAAGGGGCTTGGACTTCCAGCAAGCATGCGTGAGCGTATTTAATAGGAGTGAATGGAGACAAATGGTTTTTAAAACTTGACATGCTATTGGAGGGTGAGCAAAGTAACATTTATGAAGGGGTTCAGGGAAACCGGCAGGCCGGACTTGAGTCCTGGAGATGGGAAGTACAGTACCTGCACTCTGAAGGAGGGGTGTTAATGTTGCAGTTTAAAAACTGTAGTGTAAAGCACCCTTCTGGCAAGACAGTGATGGAGTGAATGATGGTGAAAGTTTTTCTTTTTCGAGCCACCCTGCCTTGGTGGGAATCGGCCGATGTGTTAAAAAAAATCATCATTATTGCGCAGCTAGACTCATCTACATCGATATTTACACAAATTGTGATATATGGTTCAGAAAATCAACAAGTTGAAGAATGAGATACCTGTGCAATATTTTGGAATCTTTATTGAGGAAAAATTTCGCCACACGGTGGCTTCATCAATCCAATACAAAGAAGAAAGGTGAAAATGGAGGACTTTGAGGTAATCAGTCCTTCAGCATGGCACAAGTGTCTCATTCTTTATTTACAAAAGTTAAAAAATAAAACCGTGTATATGTAAGTAATGTGCATATCACAGTGGACGTTTCTCTCTCGTACATTGTTACTTCTGAAGACTTCTAGCCTTGGCTTCCAAATTTTGTACTGACGTCATATTATTAATGGTATACAATACCGACAGGTTCATGAATAAGATATATATGCAACACTTTGGTCTCTCTACTGCCAAAACGTTCCGCCTGCACACCAGACAGAATTTTTTGTCCAATACAGACAGTAGAAGTAATTTTGAGACACATCTTCAGTTTTCCAGAAAGAATAAATTAAACCCAGATATTTAAATACCTCGTGCCACTTCTGAGGTCTCTAATAAGTGAACGTTCATTCCCAGGTAAAGTGTTCATCAGCAGTTCACCTGAACACAACCAGTCACATCCAAACACTACATTTTTTAACAGTATTACACTGTCTAGTGAAAATTTTGAGTTATGTATACACAAATTTTATCCCTATATAAACCATAGTTCTTGGGTTAGTATAAAAAAGGATAGAAGAGCGTACGAGCAAGAATGTTTGACTGTGAAAAGTGACTACTGCAGTGACTGCTGTGCGAAGTGACTACTGCAGTGACTGCTGTGCGAAGTGACTACTGCAGTGACTGCTGTGAAAAGTGACTACTGCAGTGACTGCTGTGAAAAGTGACTACTGCAGTGACTGCTGTGCGAAGTGACTACTGCAGTGACTGCTGTGAGAAGTGACTACTGCAGTAACTACTGTGAGAAGTGGCTACTGCAGTGACTACTGTGAGAAGTGAGAGACTACGGAAGTGACTACTGTGAGAAGTGGCTACTGCAGTGACTACTGTGCGAAGTGATTACTGCAGTGACTGCTGTGAGAAGTGACTACTGCAGTAACTACTGTGAGAAGTGGCTACTGCACTGACTACTGTGAGAAGTGAGAGACTACGGAAGTGACTACTGTGAGAAGTGAGTAACTACTGCAGTGACTACTGTGAGAAGTGAGTAACTACTGCAGTGACTGCTGTGAGAAGTGACTACTGCAGTGATTGCTGTGAGAAGTGACTACTGCAGTGACTACTGTGAGAAATGAGTGACTACTGCAGTGACTACTGTGAGAAGTGACTACTGCAGTGACTGCTGTGAGAAGTGACTACTGCAGTGACTGCTGCGAGAAGTAACTGCTGCAGTGACTGCTGTGAGAAGTGACTACTGCAGTGACTGCTGTGAGAAGTGACTACTGCAGTGATTGCTGTGAGAAGTGACTACCGCAGTGACTGCTGTGAGAAGTGACTACTGCAGTAACTGCTGTGAGTAGTGACTATTGCAGTGTCTACTGCAGTGACTACTATGAGAACTGACTACTGCAGTGACTACTTTGAGAAGTGACTACTGTGAGAACTGACTACTGTGAGAAGTGAGTGACTACTGGAGTGACTACTGTGAGAAGTGAGTGACTACTGTGAGAAGTGACTACTGTGAGAAGTGAGTGACTACTGCAGTAACTACTGTGAGAAGTGAGTGACTACTGCATTTACTACTGTGAGAAGTGAGTGACTACTGCATTGACAACTGTGAGAAGTGAGTGACTACTGCATTTACTACTGTGAGAAGTGAGTGAGTGACTACTGCATTGACAACTGTGAGAAGTGAGGGACTACTGCAGTGACTACTGTGAAAAGTGAGTGACTGCTGAAGTGACTACAGTGAGAAGTGAGTGATTATAGCAGTGACTGTTGTGAGAAGTGAGTGACTACTGCATTGACTACTGTGAGAAATGACTACTGTGAGAAGTGAGTACTGCAGTAACTACTGTGACAAGTGACTACTGCATTGACTACCCTGAGAAGTGACTACAGGAATGACTACTGTGAGAAGTGAGTAACTACTGCAGTGACTACTGTAAGAAGTGACTATTGCAGTGATTAGTGTGAGAAGTGACTACTGCAGTGAATACTGTGAGAAGTGAATGGTTGTTGCAGTGACTACTGTGAGAAGTGAGTAACTACTGCAGTGACTGCTGTGAGAAGTGACTACTGCAGTGACTGCTGTGAGAAGTGACTACTGCAGTGACTGCTGTGAGAAGTGACTACTGCAGTAACTACTGTGAGAAGTGACTACTGCAGTGACTACTGTGAGAAGTGACTACCGTCAGAAGTGACTACTGCAGTGACTACTGTGAGAAATGAGTGACTACTGCAGTGACTGCTGTAAGAAGTGAGTGACTACGGCAGTGACTACTGTGAGAAGTGAGTGACTACTGCAGTGACTACTGTGAGAAGTGAGTGACTACTGCAGTGGCTACTGTGAGAAGTGAGTGATTATTGCAGTGACTACTGTGAGACGTGGGTGATTATAGCAGTGGCTACAGTGAGAAGTGAGTGACTATTGCAGTGACTACTGTGAGAAGTGACTACTGCAGTAACTAATGTGAGAAGTGACTACTGCAGTGACTACTGTGAGAAGTGACTACTGCAGTGACTTCGGTGAGAAGTGAGTAACTACTGCAGTGACTACTGAGAGAAGTGACTACTGCAGTGACTACTGTGAGAAGTGAGTAATTACTGCGGTGACTACTGTGAGAAGTGAATACTGCAGTGACTACTGTGAGAAATGTGTAACTACTACAGTGACTACTGTGAGAAGTGACAACTGCAGTTACTACTGTGAGAAGTGAGTAACTACTGCAGTGACTACTGCAGTGACTACTGTGAGAAGTGAGTAACTACTGCAGTGACTACTTTGAGAAGTGAATACTGCAGTGACTACTGTGAGAAGTGTGTAACTACTACAGTGACTACTGTGAGAAGTGACTACTGCAGTTACTACTGTGAGAAGTGAGTAACTACTGCAGTGACTACTGCAGTGACTACTGTGAGAAGTGAGTGACTGCTGCAGTGACTACTGTAAGTAGTGAGTGACTGCTGCATTGACTACTGCAGTGACTACTGTGAGACGCGAGTAACTACTGCAGTGACTACTGTGAGACGCGAGTAACTACTGCAGTGACTACTGTGAGACGCGAGTAACTACTGCAGTGACTACTGTGAGACGCGAGTAACTACTGCAGTGACTACTGTGAGACGCGAGTAACTACTGCAGTGACTACTGTGGGAAGTGACTACTGCAGTGACTACTGTAAGTAGTGAGTGACAGCTGCATTGGCTACTGCATTGACTACTGCACTGACTACTGCAGTGACTACTGCATTGACTACTGCATTGACTACTGCATTGACTACTGCAGTGACTACTGTAAGTAGTGAGTGACTGCTGCATTGGCTACTGCATTGACTACTGCACTGACTACTGCAGTGACTACTGCAGTGACTACTGCAGTGACTACTGCAGTGACTACTGCATTGACTACTGCAGTGACTACTGTAAGTAGTGAGTGACTGCTGCATTGGCTACTGCATTGACTACTGCAGTGACTACTGCAGTGACTACTGCAGTGACTACTGTAAGTAGTGAGTGACTGCTGCATTGGCTACTGCATTGACTACTGCAGTGACTACTGCATTGACTACTGCAGTGACTACTGTAAGTAGT